ATGACAGGGAGGCGAGGGATGAGCGGGCGGTTAGCTTGCGATGATGGGACGGGGTTTGAGGCGCCTCAAAAACCAAGCATGGCTCAGGGATGAGCGGGCGGTTAGCTTGCGATGATGGGACGGGGTTTGAGGCGCCTCAAAAACCAAGCATGGCTCAGGGATGAGCGGGCGGTTAGCTTGCGATGATGGGACGGGGTTTGAGGCGCCTCAAAAACCAAGCATGGCTCAGGGATGAGCGGGCGGTTAGCTTGCGATGATGGGACGGGGTTTGAGGCGCCTCAAAAACAAAGCATGGCTCAGGGATGAGCGGGCGGTTAGCTTGCGATGATGGGACGGGGTTTGAGGCGCCTCAAAAACCAAGCATGGCTCAGGGATGAGCGGGCGGTTAGCTTGCGATGATGGGACGGGGTTTGAGGCGCCTCAAAAACCAAGCATGGCTCAGGGATGAGCGGGCGGTTAGCTTGCGATGATGGGACGGGGTTTGAGGCGCCTCAAAAACCAAGCATGGCTCAGGGATGAGCGGGCGGTTAGCTTGCGATGATGGGACGGGGTTTGAGGCGCCTCAAAAACCAAGCATGGCTCAGGGATGAGCGGCGGTTAGCTTGCGATGATGGGACGGGGTTTGAGGCGCCTCAAAAACCAAGCATTGCTCAGGGATGAGCGGCGGTTAGCTTGCGATGATGGGACGGGGTTTGAGGCGCCTCAAAAACCAAGCATGGCTCAGGGATGAGCGGCGGTTAGCTTGCGATGATGGGACGGGGTTTGAGGCGCCTCAAAAACCAAGCATTGCTCAGGGATGAGCGGCGGTTAGCTTGCGATGATGGGACGGGGTTTGAGGCGCCTCAAAAACCAAGCATGGCTCAGGGATGAGCGGGCGGTTAGCTTGCGATGATGGGACGGGGTTTGAGGCGCCTCAAAAACCAAGCATGGCTCAGGGATGAGCGGGCGGTTAGCTTGCGATGATGGGACGGGGTTTGAGGCGCCTCAAAAACCAAGCATGGCTCAGGGATGAGCGGCGGTTAGCTTGCGATGATGATGGGGCGGGTTGGGATGGGACACGGGGATGAGCTCAGCAGTGAAAGGTCTCCGGTTCAAGTCCGGTCGTAAGCGCCGAATAAGTCCAGACGAGTTCCAAGGGGCCTAAAAATTGACTCAACTTCAAGGCTGGCTGGTAGTTTACGCGTTCAGTCGTCAACACACTACAAGCAGAGGTGGTGCAACAGTTAACACAGTGGAGGGCGGGCTGTGAGGCTCACAGGTCTGTGAGGTGGGTTAGGCTGCCAATGGCGGTGGGGAAGGGCCCTGGCAGCCCTGCAGGCATCTGCTCCGTTGTCAGCGTCCTGCCATGTGCGTGTGAGGGGATGGAGGGAGGAGGAAGAGGGAGGAGGGAGGAGGGAGGAGGGAGGAGGGAGGGCGGAGGAGAGAGGACGGAGGACGGAGGACGGAGGAGGGAGGAGGGAGGAAGGAGGAGGGAAGAGGGAGGAGGGAAGGGGGAGAGGGGGGGTTGAGGAGGCGAGGGAAGTGAGTGGCATTCAGGCAGTAGCAGTACTGAGGGCGCTTGCTTGCGTGTTCTTCACATGCTCATCACTCACACGCTAATCACTCACACGCTAATCACTCACACGCTAATCACTCACACGCTAATCACTCACACGCTAATCACTGACACGCTCACAAAAGAACCGCCCACGTCGCACGCCAGCCCCGTGGCAGCAGCGTTGTTGCCATTGGGGGTAGAGAGACGACTTATCAAGCGACTTTGAGGCGCCTCAAACGTATACTATTTGAGGCGCCTCATAAGAAGTCACTCACATGCTCACGACGAACCCGCCCTCGTCGCATGTCAGCCCCGTAGCGGCATCGCAGTTGCCATTGGCGCGCCACTCGTTGAGGCTCACCCCCCACCCCGCCTGCATCTCCAGCAGCGGGGGGACTGCGGGGAGGCGGGGGAAGCGAGGATGGGGGACTATTTTTATGAGTCGACTAAAAATCCACTCGTTGAGGCTCACTCCCACCCCGCCTGCATCTCCAGCAGCGGGGGGACTGCGGGGAGGCGGGGGAAGCGAGGATGGGGGACTATTTTTATGAGTCGACTAAAAATCCACTCGTTGAGGCTCACTCCCCACCCCGCCTGCATCTCCAGCAGCGGGGGGACTGCGGGGAGGCGGGGGAAGCGAGGATGGGGGACTATTTTTATGAGTCGACTAAAAAGCCACTCGTTGAGGATCACTCCCACCCCGCCTGCATCTCCAGCAGCGGGGGGACTGCGGGGAGGCGGGAGGGGAGGATGGGGGACAGGGGGAAGGATTGGGACGGCGGGGGAAAGGTGGGGGGAATGGGAAGACGGGGGGAGGGAATGAGGTGACGGAAAAAGGGGCAGCCGGAAGAGCGGGGACTGGGGGAAACTGTGGACTGCTTTCCACGGAGAACGGGCAGCAGACGTTTCAGTAGAATGGCCACGTCACTGTCGCTGGACCACTGGGCCAAAACCGCGATTATTCAGAGGCGCAGCGGTGCGCTTTCAGCCCTGTTTAAGTCAGCAGTGCTAGGCGTCGGCAGCGTTAGCAGGAAAGCTGTCAGTACGTTGCGAGGCGCCGCGAACGACGCGGTGGACGGGGGATTCGAGAAACGCTTCTAGTAAACGCAGCGTGGCTATACTTTGCGATGGTCAATGGGGCCACTTTTGAAAACCCTCAAAAGATAATTTGCGAGGGTCGATAGGGGGGGAGCAAGTTCCAGTGGGAGAAGAAGGCGGAGAGGCGCGCGACGGGACGAAAGGTTCGCGAAGTGCGACCGCCAATTGCAGCTGTACCTTGCGACTCGCAGGTGTACCATGCGACTCGCGGCTGTACCTTGCGACTCGCGGCTGTACCTTGCGACTCGCAGGTGTACCTTGCGACTCCCAGCTGTACCTTGCGACTCGCAGCTGTACCTTGCGACTCGCAGCTGTACCTTGCGACTCGCAGCTGTACCTTGCGACTCGCAGCTGTACGGTACCTTGCGAGGAGTCAATGAGGACGGCCAAGGAAGCGGGGAGTCACTTTTGAGAGATTTCAACTTACCTTTTGGGAGTACTCAGTGGGGCGATGGACGGGGGGACTTTAGAGGCGCCTCAAAAGCCATTCGAAGATGTACCTTGCGACTCGCAGATGTACCTTGCGACTCGCAGATGTACCTTGCGACTCGCAGATGTACCTTGCGAGGAGTCAATGAGGACGGCGAAGGAAGTGGGGAGACGAAGCAGGAGGAGCGAGGCGAGCAGGGCAACGTGCGAAAGGTGGTAGCTGCCGCGGCGACGGGAGTCGGCGCGCTTATGGACCGCGCTGCGCGAGTGTGCGGACCCTTGACGAGCGCAGGGAAAGGTTTGTACAGCGGGGAGCGACCAATGAGCCATGCCGGTGTCGTCGTGTAGCGCTCAACCCGAAAGTCTTGGCTTGAAAGCTCGTTTTTGGAGCCAATAAAGCTACAATGCTACCTTATTCGAAATACTTTTCGGAATGCGGCGCGAGACGTGCTTGACTAAACAGGATTATATTCAAAAGGTGGTGACGCCGAAGTGGTGAATCTATTCTCCAAAACTAGTTGCAATGCAAGATGCTTACTGTGGTGAAACGAAGAATGGAAAGCGAAAGCAAGACAAGAAGGAAACGGAGCGGCGGCGGCGAACAAAGCAGAACGGAAAGGGTGCTGCCAGGCTCGGTGGTTGTGGGTCTGGTCTGGAAGGAAGCATCTTTCACCCTCGGAGTTGAAGGAGCATTTAGAAACACCCTCGGATCGAAAACAAGTTGTGAATTGTCAACTAAATGAGACCAGAAAAGTAAACTGGTGGGTGTGGTTGGTGGTTTTATTTTGAACCGCGATAACATTAATCATACGAGCATTTTCTTCGGTGGCAGGAAACCCAGAAACTGGTATTCTTGCTGACAGTGATCAGGTCCGATCTGAGCTGTACGGTTCGGGGTATGCTTCGACTCGCAAGCGAGCCTCAGTCTTTGCCTCGGCTCGGAGTTCATTCTGGCGCAGCGCAACGGGCTCAATACACAACAAAACTAATTAGCGTATTGAGTAACTCGCTAATGACAGATTTAACCGTAATGTTCAGGCATCTTCAAATCAGGGAGCCATTCAAGTGATTAGGCATGCTATGGCAAAGGCATGGGTAGGCAACTCCTGCACGGCTAGTGCATATAACGTTCAGTTGTTTTGGCCAGCTCGTGTCGAAATTTTATCCCCGCATGATTCACTGGAGCGTTACAACGAAGGTGATACATTCTGCACATAACGTGTACAATTGCTAGGCATTTCACACATGAGTTAAACTGCTTCTTTCCCAGAACATGCAGGGTTTTGATGTAGCTGCTTCATTTGCACATCAGGGTGGCAAAGGCCGGCACAGGTGGGCATGTCCCACACAGCCACAGCGGTGGGCGTGCAGTTATTTTGGCAGAGGGGCCAGCTCATCTCATGTGATACATCAAATGCCAGCATCCACGCCCCCACAGTCACATCCTCGTTTAAGAACATCCTCAGCCTGCGATCGTGACAGTAACGAGAACAGAGGTGGGCGAGTAAGAGTTGGATTTCAAGACCGAAGAAAAAAAACAGCCCTGTCTTGCAGTGCTTGAAAAAATTCAGACTCTCTTGGAGCTTCTCCCTTGCAGCTCCTACCTGGCCATTATACCGGTTTGTCAACCAGACATAGCTCACTTGCTCAGTTGCCTCATTCAACAACACGCATGACTCGTGTCAACTCAAAAAAATGCACCCCTGACCTGCCTTTGGGAATGGAGTTGAGCATATTGTTGACATCGAAGGAGAGCAAGTATATGCGGCCGTAGGACATACATGCACGGCTCACCTCGTTGCAAGACAAGCACAACCCACCTACCCTTGGGAATGGAGTTGAGAATGTTGACGACGTCGTAGGAGAGGGAGTAGATGGCACTGTGCGCATTCAGGAGATACATTCACGGCTCGCCACGTTGCATGACAAGCACAGCTCACCTGCCCTTGGGGATGGAGTTGAGAATGTTGACGACGTCATAGGAGAGGGAGTAGATGGCACTGTGCGCATTCAGGAGATACATTCACGGCTCGCCACGTTGCATGACAAGCACAGCTCACCTGCCCTTGGGGATGGAGTTGAGAATGTTGACGACGTCGTAGGAGAGGGAGTAAATGGGGCCGTAGGCATGAAGGAAATACTCCGACCCCACCAGCCATGACTTGGGCTCAAACCTGCGCAGAACAAAAAACGAAGGAGAAAAAAGGGATTAAATGTGAAAAGCAGGAGCAGTAATGGGTTCACCGATGAGTTTCATGGCTCTTCGGAATAGGCCGAGAGAAGAGACCAGCAAAGAGGTCGGCCCACTTGTCTGCATCAAGAAATATGAGAGGGGAAGGCACGACTCGTTTACACACTAATATCACTGTACGTTGCATGGATTGAGAGAGTCACCAGAAAGAGCAACAACAACCGCTTGAAGGTGTAACATGGCAACTGAACTCACCACTTCATCTTGGGATTAGTGAACACAGCTCCCTTCTTCAAGCAACCAAGGTAGGTTCGAGGTGACTTCCTTGGCCTGGCGATCAGAGAGGAGAGGCGGTCTGCAGGGATGCACAGAAATAGGCAGCAGAGGGTGGGACTCGTCTGAGCAAGGAACGCTTTTGAGACTTCTGAAATGCGACTCGTGCGAAAAACGGATTCTTTCCGAGACACGCTCAACATACGAACAGCATCACAGGACTTGGGAGGATTTAAGGGCGAACCTGGTATGAGGGAGATGTGAGATGGACGTACGTGGTATGAGGGAGATGTGAGATGGACGTACCTGGTCTCAAGTAGATGTCGTCGTCTGCCTTGACGTAGAACTCGGCTTCATAGAGCTTGAAGAGAGATGTGAAGTACACGAGACTGGGGGATGGGGGATGTGAAATTACGAGGGTAGAATGGGAATGGAGCGAGGAGAGTCAAACGATTTATACGAATACATATATACACCTATTTTATACATACAGCAAACACGCCAGCAAGCACCTTACGTCTTGTGATTGAGATTCAGATAAGCCTCGTCAACATCGATGCGAAGGAAGTCCCCGTGAGTGCTGTTCTCCGCCTGCAGCAGCTGCTCGTCCACTGCGCTCCTCCCGTGCCCGATGATGAACCGGAACACCAGCCCCGTTGCTGCTTCCACACTGGAGAATATCATGTGAAATGGAGGGGGACGTGGGGAGGGAAAGGGGTGCTTCCATCATTGCATCGCATCGCATCACATCACTCGGTGCAGTGCATCACCTCTGTGCCCGATGATGAAACGGAACACCAGCCCTGTTGCTGCTTATATGCTCAAGTAGACGCACTAGGGAGGGGAGGAAACGAGGAGAAGGGAGAGGAAAAGAGGGCAGGGTTGAACGATGCACAAAACAGATGGCGTACAGATGGCGTACAGGTGGCGTACAGACGGCGTACAGATGGCGTACACGTGGCGTACACGTGGCGTGCGACGCACAGGGAACAGGGGGCTGACCATCTGACCTCAGGGCGCACTGGGAACAGAACAGTGATGCTCCCAGAGCGCCTTGAGAACCATCAGGCTCTCCACTACCATCTCACCTCTGATGCTGCATCTTCCATCTCATTACCCGCACACTTCCAGTTTCACCTACATCAGCTTGAAGGTTTTGGGTGCCGTCCTATCTCATGGCCTGTTTTGAGGCGCCTAAAAAACTTCAATCCAATTACACAAAAAAAAAAAACCGGATCAGCTAAGAGGGTGCCGTCCTATCCCATGGCCTACCGCTTGTGGTCGCCAGTTGTGGTTGGGAAGCACGAGGCTGGGAAGCACGTGGCTAGAAACCACGTGGTTGAGAAGAACGTGGCTGGGAAGAACGTGGCTGGGAAGCACGTGGCTGGGAAGCACGTGGCTGGGAAGCACGTGGCTGGGAAGCACGTGGCTGGGAAGCACGCTGGGAAGCACGTGGCTGGGAAGCACGTGGCTGGGAAGCACGTGGCTGGGAACCACGTGGGGCATGAAGCAGGAAGAGGTCAGTACCAAATATACCGCTGCAAACAGCGGATGGGTGGTGAAGTGAAGTCTTCCCGCACACCCACCACTCGGATGAGTTTCACTCAGAGCAAGGCTGCCCTTCCTCGCTCAAATTGCCGTCCGATGCTACTCAGGGCGTACCGCGTGTGGGTGGTGTATTCTTCCCGCCCGCCCACCACTACCGACTCTCACTCAGAGCATAGGCTGCAGGCCGGGTGGTGAAATCTTCCCACCCTCTCACTACCGACTTTCACTAAGAGCATAGCTGCCTTCCTCACTCAAGACGCCGTCCTATGCCACTCAGGGCGCACCGCGTGTGACCCTCGGACGTCACCGGAAGCCACATGTCGCGACGAGAACAGAAAAAACCCAAAGCAGAAAAACACAGGCGGTTTTGGCGGACATCTCAACACTAGAACCGAGAGCTATGGCGGCACAGGTAACTTCTGAGTTATGCGATGTCTCAAACCAGTACCGAGTTATCCGTAACACCCGTAACACCCGTAACACCTTTGTGCTCTAGAGGTGCGGCTTTCGCCACTAATAGCCTACCGCGCGTGGTCTTCGGGCGTGGCCGGGAACCATGTCTCGCGAAGCAACCCGCGTCTAGTGCGGCTGCCGAAACCGGTCTGCACCCCGACGAACCCCAGCACGCGCTTCCTGCCCGGGTACCGCAACCGATCTGCACTCCTCTCGTCCATCCCCCCCGGGTCCGCCAACGGTCCGACCGCGGCAGTCGCCTGAACGGGCTTTAACTCGGTTGATTTACTATTCGACCATGGCGGAGCGGAACAGCTGTATCTTAAAACGAGAATTTCTGTAATGAAAAAGAGCAAGACGGCTAGGACTAAAAAGAGGCAACGGAGATTGGCGGAGGCGAATCTGCTGTGGGGAGTGCAGCAGAGGGACCAGGAGACGCGCCATGACGTCAGCACTCGCGGCGCGACGGACGATTGACCCTTTGAGCCCATCAGCGGGTGAATTCAAAGAAAGCTGATATATCTGGACCGAATTTCTAGGATCGAATCTAGAGCTACCATGGCGGGATGAGCGGTTGGGGTGATCGACTGGCAAAAGCGACGCTATGGTTTTGGTCCCCAACGGCAGCCATGGATGAGTCGGAGCAGGTGTTGGAACGGAGAAACCAGATTCGCATGCTGCGATACAAGATAACTCGAAGACCTGCCATGCAGAAAAAAATATAACAAGCAGGTCACGATGTAAGCATAAACTTTTGCTTGAATGCTTTTAGATAATTTATGTAGATTGCATAAACATTTTTTTCTACAAAGCAGGAGAATATAGAAGAGCCCAACAAGCAGACTGCCAAGCTTTTCCCACGCTTGGATGATTAAAATGATATTCACAGTAGTGAAATGGTGTGGAAAGCAACTTGTTCTTCTACAAGAAAACGCATGTTCCCTGATTGAATATAATTACACATTATAATTATACAACGAGGCACAAGGAAACTCTGAAAAGACAACATAAGCAAAATGTAATGCTAAGGGACACCCTGGACCATCAGAGTGACTTATTAATATCACAGGAAACTCCTCTGATAAAGTAGGCCTCGGTTCAGTGTACATTTCCTAAATCATTCACACCGGTTGCACGGGTTCCGTCCCAGAGCAGGAGGGGTTTTGATGCAGCTGCTTCATTTGCACTTCAGGCTTGCAGAGGCCGGAACAGATCGGTATGTCCCAGACAGCCACAGCAGAGGGCGTGCAGATGTTCTGGCAGAGTGGCCAGCTCTTTTCATGGGTCACGTTGAATGCAAGCATCCACGCCCCCATTGTCACATCCTCGCTTACAAACATCCTCAGCCTGCAATGCAGAGAAGAGAGCAAAATTTGGAGGGTAGGTGCTAGATTTTGGGTTGCGGAGCAAAGAATGGAAGGTAGCTGTTAGAGTTTGGGTGGTTAGGAGGGGGGGTGGACCGGACACAGCTCATCTGACTGCAAGGCATGCTGACTTGGTGATTACAAGCATGGTGATTTCAGCTCACCTCACTGCAAGGCATGCTGACTTGGTGATTAAAAGCATGGTGATTTCAGCTCACCTCACTGCAAGGCATGCTGACTTGGTGATTACAAGCATGGTGATTTCAGCTCACCTCACTGCAAGGCATGCTGACTTGGTGATTACAAGCATGGTGATTTCAGCTCACCTCACTGCAAGGCATGCTGACTTGGTGATTACAAGCATGGTGATTTCAGCTCACCTCACTGCAAGGCATGCTGACTTGGTGATTACAAGCATGGTGATTTCAGCTCACCTCACTGCAAGGCATGCTGACTTGGTGATTACAAGCATGGTGATTTCAGCTCACCTCACTGCAAGGCATGCTGACTTGGTGATTACAAGCATGGTGATTTCAGCTCACCTCACTGCAAGGCATGCATGACCATGAATGAGGGTCTTACCTGCCCTTGGGAACGGAGTTGAGAATCTTGACGACACCGTAGGAGAGGGAGTAGACGGCGCTGTAGCCATGCAGGAAATACTGCGGCCCCAGCAGTCGCAAGTCCGGGTCTAACCTGCCAAGACCAAAACACGAGAAAAAAAAAAAAAACAGGAATAGGACACTTGAAATAAGTCAGGGATGAGTACGAGATCAGCCGAAGCGGTCGTCCGGCAAACATTAGGACGTTTGAAATTAGTATGCGACTGCGATAAAAAGCATTAGGAACACTGGGAATACACAACTGCTTTGAAATCTGGGTACACCGTATACTGCTGCATGGTGACTTTTGCGTCGACTCAAAAGTCATCTGGGTACACCGTATGCTGCTGCATGGGCTGAGAAGGATGCCGAAAGAATTGCCAGCAAGCGTGATCGAAGTGTAATATTGGAACTCACTCGCTCGTGTCGGGGTTGGAAACCACGACACCCTTCTTGAAGCATCCAAGGTACGTTCGAGGTGACTTCCTTGGCCTGGCGATCAGAGAAGAGAGGCGGTCTGCAGAGACGAACAGAAAAAAAAACAGCAGAGGGTGGGACTAGTGTGAGCGAGCAAGGACTCTCTCAACGTCGTCTGAATGAGCAAGGACTCTCTCAACGTCGTCTGAATGAGCAAGGACTCTCTCAACGTCGTCTGAATGAGCAAGGACTCTCTCAACGTCGTCTGAATGAGCAAGGACTCTCTCAACGTCGTCTGAATGAGCAAGGACTCTCTCAACGTCGTCTGAATGAGCAAGGACTCTCTCAACGTCGTCTGAATGAGCAAGGACTCTCTCAACGTCGTCTGAATGAGCAAGGACTCTCTCAACGTCGTCTGAATGAGCAAGCAAGGACTCTCTCAATGCTAAGGGTGTGACTCGTGAGTGAGGGTGGGAATGGTGTGAGCGAGCAAGGACTCTCTCAACGCTGCCAAACATTGCCAGCCGCATTGTGTGAGCAACGACTCACAGTATCGCCGGCAACACATGACATGATCCTCAATTCTTCAGAAGAGGAAAGAAAGAAAGAAGAAGAAGAAGAAAAAAAAATGCAGCAGCACAAAAAACATTTGCGCGCGCACAGAGCCACAGTCACAGCAGCAACCCTCCGCTACGTGGGTCTCACATGGACGCCCAGATTTGCCTGCCTTGAAGCCCCGTTCCATAGCGCTTGGGCCGTCATAACTCTCAGCCTCACTCAGATCCTGCGGAGATTTAGATGGGCGCATGCGCACCTGGTACCAAGAAGATGTCGTCGTTTGCCTTGATGAAGAACTCAGCTTCATAGAGCTTGAAGACAGTAGTGAAGTACACGAGACTGGGGGAAAGGGCGGAAGGCATGAGGAAGGTACGAGGAAGGTACGAGGAAGGTACAAGCAATAGGAGCTTCAGATGCAGCAGTACGTGAGGAAGAAGCATACATAGCATAGCAGGCAGGCAGCATTTCACGCTATCTATCATGAAAGGAGCCAGTCACGTCTTGCGGTTGGCATTGAAGTCTGCCTCGTCCACGTCAATGCGAAGCAAGTCCCCGTGAGTGAAGAGAGGAGCATAATAACAGGAGCGAGCATCTCACGCTGTCATCAACGGAGAGCATCTCACGTCTTGTGGATGGCATTGAAGTCTGCCTCGTCCACGTCAATGCGAAGCAAGTCCCCGTGAGTGCTGTTCTCCGCCTGCAGCAGCTGCTCATCCTCCGGGCTCCACCCATTCCCGATGATGAACCGAAACACCAGCCCCGTTTGTGTTTCCAAGCTGGGATGTGTGTAGTGGGGAGGAAGGGGAGGGGATGAGGGGAGGGGGAGGATGGGGAGGGCAGGGCACCTGCAGCATCTGCTCGTCCTCCGCGCTCCACTCATTCCCGATGATGAACCGAAACACCGTTGCTGCTTCCACTCTTGGGGAGTATGTGAATAGTAGGACGAGGAGGGGGGGAGAGGGGGGGGGGAAGGCGCAGAGAGGGCACAAGGACAAGCCATATCAACCTGAGCACATACCGCATTCAAAACACATCATACCGCATCCAAACACATCATACCGCATTCAAAACACATCATACCGCATTCAAACACGTCATACCGCATTCAAAACACATCATACCACATCCAAACACATCATACCGCATTCAAAACACATCATACCGCATCCAAACACATCATACCGCATCATAACGCTCCATTCCTCCTCGTTCACCTCGCTCCTGCCGTGGCCGAACCGATGACGTCCCATCACATCCCATCCCCTCGTCCATCTCGCACCTGCCATGACCGTTGATGGAACGAAGCATTGACCTCGTCGACATGCCCCCCGCGATATGCCGCGCGCGACATGCCTTCACGCCCTGTCCCCACGCCATCATGCCCTAGCGCCATCATGCCCTAGCGCCATGCTACCACGCCATGCCCCTATGAATGGCGTACCGCGCGTGCTCCTCGGGCGTGGCGGGGAACCACGTCTCGCGAAGCAGCGCGCGCCTCTCGCGGCTGGAGAAATCGGTGAACACGCCGACGAACCCCCGCACGCGCTTCCTGCCCGGGTACCGCAACCGATCTGCACCCCTCTCGGCGTCGACCGTCCCTCGCGGCGATTCCGCCTCGTCCATCCCTCGCGGCGCTTCCGCTTCTTCCATTCTTCGCGGCGGTTCCGCCTCGTCCATCCCCCGCGGCGCTTCCGCTTCTTCCATCCCCCCCAGGCCCGCCTCCGAGTCGTCCATGCTCCCTCGCAGGTTCGCCAACGGTTCGATCGCGTTGATCGTCGCAACCGGCGGCTTTAAATCGTCGGATTCGATCGCGGCCGTCCATGCGGGAGCGAGGCAACTGTATCTGAGCACGAGGATATGTACAAGGAACAAGAGCGGGATGGTTACTAGGAGTAGGAAGAGGGACCAAGACACGCGCGATGATGACGTCAGCACTCGCGGCTCGGACGTTTGAGCCTTCGGGCTCATCAGCGGGTAAAACCAATTAAACTTCTGTATTGAGTCATTCGCGAATATCTTATGAGGAGCATCAAGAACCATAAGCAGATAACTGCCGCCGTCAACTACCAACGGTCTTATCGGAGCTTTCATCGGAACAGACATTCTGAGAGCAGACGGAAGGCGAGCAGATGGGCGCCTACCATGGCGAAACTACCGGTTGAGGCTATCGCTTGGGAAATGTAAACAAAGGTTCTGGTACCGAGCAGCCATGGATTTGGAGCATGATATCTTGAAGAGACGAACCAAACTCGTCGGTCAGCTGCACAAGTCACCAACCCCCAATACTCCATCGTGACGTGACAAGCCGATGTGGTCTTGCCGGCCAGCGTCGTCAGTCTGTGAGCGTTGGGCTTGGGGGCATCGAGATTGCCGTGGTCCGTGGAATAGCGATGGAGGAGGTCAAGCATTTCGGCAACTTGGAGGTTGTGAAAAGTAGTTACGAAAAGTGGTGTTCTCGAGGCCACCCGTTATCAGGCATCTGGCACTCACACATCGTATCGCTTATCTGATTACGGTATATGGAGAATAAGTTCGTTAAAGGAATACAATGCGCATATTCAATACAAAGAGGCCATATGGGTTATTATTCAGCCAGAATCTCTTAATGAATTTAACAAGTTAACATTTCCTTCAATCCGTCTAAAACACCGTTCACCCAAATTCGCCATCTTTTTGGCACAAACAGGCATGTCTCACACAGCCAGATCAGACATCATAGGTATACAGTACATATCTTTTGCAGAAAGCCCTGCTCGAGAGGGAACCCTAAATATACAAAAATTCAATGGATCACACAACACAATGACAGCAGTAGATGATGGATGGCATGTACACTTATTCTGTAGGCATTTTCCTAGATCAACCACGCAGCGGTTAAAATGTCCCCGTCCCAGAGCAGACGGGGTTTTGATGAAGCTCCCTCATCTGCACATCAGGCTTGCAAAGGCCAGCACAGAGAGGCTCCCAGATAGCCACAGCAGAAAGGGTGCAGTTTCTACGACAGAGAGCGTAGGACTTCTCATGTTGCACGTCAAAGGCGAGCATCCACGCTCCCACTGACACGTCCTCGTTTGTGAACATGCTCAGCCTGCAATCATGATAGTAACGAGACCAGAGGTCGGAAAACAAGAGCGGGGTTTCATTGCAGTGCTTGTACTATATCGTTTCCATATGCGTCCCACCTCGTTACAAGATAAGCGCGACGCTCCTGTTACAAGGCATGCATGACTCACTGATCGCTGGAAATGAAGTTGAGAATTTTGTCAAGGCATGGCTCAGTAACCAAAGGCATGCATGTCTCACCCGTCCGTTGGGATGGCATTGAGAATTTGAACCACGCCGTAGGAGAGGGAATAGATGGAGCCAAAAGCATGAGCGAAATAATGCGACCCCAGCAGCTCCGACTTTGGCTCAAACCTGCGCAGAACAAAACACAAGAACAGAGGGAAACAGAAAACAGTAAGAGGTCAGGGATAAGTATGAGAGGAGGAGAAAGCGGTTGACGAATAGGTTGTTGCATTGTTGACAAGACAGTTCAAGGGAACAGCAGGAGAGGTACTCTGGCCCCAGTGTTGCCAATGGCAGTTAACACACACTAGCAATGCTAGGATGACCCAGAAACTAAGGAAGATTCCGGCCAGCAGAACAGAGTATACTGTACAGCATGGACTAATGCACAAAGCGACTTTTGAGGCGCCTCAAATGTCACTGTACAGTACAGCATGGACTCATGCACAGAGCGCGAGTCCATGCTGAGTCAAGTGGCATGCACTGCACGAGATTCAGACATGTTTCAGTGACCTGCGTGCGTGCAGTAGGCAGTAGGCTCACTGAGGCATGTCTGAATCTCGCAATTCCATGCTGAGTCAAGTGGCATGTACTGTCAAAAGGAATGCCACAGAGCGCGATTTAGGTGCAGTGGCAGGCAACTCACCATCTCTTCTTGGCGTCAGTGATCACAGCTCCCCTCTTGAAGCATCCAAGTGTTTGAAGAAGGGTTTTGAGACGTCTCAAAAGGCGCGATTTAGGTGCAGTGGCAGGCAGGCAACGCACCATCTCTTCGTGGCGTCAGTAATGACAGCTCCCCTCTTCAAGCAACTTTTGAGACGTCTCAAAAATAACCTCATCTCTTACACGTTGCAACTCACCATCGCTTCGTGGCGTCAGTGATCACAGCTCCCCTCTTGAAGCATCCCAGGTACGTTCGAGGCGAGTCCCTTGGCCTGGCGATCAGAGCAGAGAGGCGGTCTGCAGGGAAAAGAAGAGAAACAGGCAGCAGAAGGTAAAACTCCAATGCTGCCAGCAACGTTTTATCCTCATCATCACCATCTTGAGGAAAAAAAAAAAAAAAGGGCAGCACAGAATCATATCTCACACACAATCATAGCAGGCACACGGGTGCTGCGTGGGCTCAAATGGATGTTCACATCTGCCCGATTATCACCCAGCAGCTTCATATCGCTTGACGTTTGAAAGGCCTTAAACACTTGGCTTCACAGAGGCTGGGGAGATGTGAGATGGACGCACCTGGTATGAGGTAGATGTGAGATGGACGCACCTGGTATGAGGTAGATGTGAGATGGACGCACCTGGTATGAGGTAGATGTGAGATGGACGCACCTGGTATGAGGTAGATGTCATCGTCTGCCTGACTTAAAGCCCTGCTTCATAGTGTTATTGTCAAGTAGATGGGCCTACCTGGTATGAGGTAGATGTCGTCGTCTGCCTTGACGTAGAACTCGGCTTCATAGAGCTTGAAGAGAGATGTGAAGTATATGAGACTGAGGGATGGGGGACATGGAGAGGAAATCATGAAAGCAGGTGGAAAAAGGAGTGAAAAGAGTTCAGCGATACAGAAGGTATGCGGGAGGTATGAGGAGGGTATGAGGAGGGTATGAACCGAAACGCCAGCCCCAATGCTGCTTCCACCCTGAGAGACACGCCAAAGGGGGGGGAGAGAAGGGGAGGAACAGAGAGGGCACATATCCTCTTCCTCCGCGCTCGTGCTGTGCCCGACCATGAACCGAAACGCCAGCCCGAATGCTGCTTCCACCCTGGAGAGTATGTGCATGGTTGAGAACACGGAGGAAGAACCTGTGAGTGCTGTTCTCCCATCCCATCCCATCCCATCCCATCCCATCCCATCCCATCCCATCCCATCCCATCCCATCCCATCCCATCCCATCCCATCCCATCCCATCCCATCTCTTGTCCTCGGCGCTCCTGTCATGGGGTTAGATGAGAGCATCGCAGTGCAATACAAGCACCAGGCGCGTCGAAGTTTCTACTCTACATTAGACCTCACGTGCCCCACGCCATGCGCCATCTCCCCACGCCATGCGCCATCTCCCCACGCCATGCGCCATCTCCCCACGCCATGCGCCATCTCCCCACGCCATGCGCCATCTCCCCACGCCATGCGCCATCTCCCCACGCCATGCGCCATCTCCCCACGCCATGCGCCATCTCCCCACGCCATGCGCCATCTCCCCACGCCATGCGCCATCTCCCCACGCCATGCGCCATCTCCCCACGCCATGCGCCATCTCCCCACGCCATGCGCCATCTCCCCACGCCATGCGCGCGTGCTCCTCGGGCGTGCACAGCGTGCACCTCACATATCCCCATTCCCCCACGCCGTTTCTCCACAAATGATGGCATACCGCGCGTGCTCCTCGGGCGTGCACAGCGTGCACC